TTAAAAAAAATTTTTTAAAGGGTGGTGGGAGGGGAGGCAGAACAAAGTCTGAACCAATAATTTCATAGGGGATCAAACTGCGGAATATATATATAAGCCCATACTCGCTTCAGAACTTGAAGAAGGGCAGGATTTGAGCGTTGGCCCATTTTCACTATAAAATTAAAAATAAAATAATAATGAAATTAACGATTATCAAATAATTAAAAATATGTATGTAATCAATAAGAAAACAGGTTAATATTGAAAACCCACCTCAATTAGCCGAGTTGGAATTAAACATGAAAATTTTATGCCTACCCCACAAACACATCAATCCTCTAATTGCTACCAAAATTCAAGGCAAAATTAACATTAACGTAAAATACACGACTTTTTCCCCCCATTTTCTAGATCTGGACCGTTGGCTCTGTTTATGTTTCAGTCCTTGGAGTGTAGGGCCTTGTTAGCACTTACAACAGTGCGACCAGTTGTCTCTAACAACTACCTCCTGCTTATCTGTCTCAGTTTTCGGGAAATAATATTTCCATAGCAGAAGTTCAAGTTGAGACAATTGCAGTTTTTAAAACTATATCCTGTAATTTTTTTAAGGGTGGTTGTCTTCAGCTTCTCTAAAACTAATTAAAAGACTACGTCAAAACTCCAAATCTATTGTTTCTGTATTGAATATCTTGTTGTTACTTAAGCTTCTAAATTTAATGGCATCAAGTTTTAAAATTTTTTCGTGAATTCACTGTTTAGCACTTTCGTAGAAGATAACAAGAAAAACTTTTACAAAATCTGCAATTAGGCACAGAATGTGCTAGCTGTACTAATAGGACATGCTTGAGCTTAAACGTTTTTCACAATAATAAAATGAACAAATTCAAAGATTAATGGTTCCAGCTCATCAGACATTATAGCATCTCTGTAATTCCAAAAAGAGCTCCTCAACAATCTACTTATAGTTGTGCACTGTTGAATTTGTCATGCATTGACAGGAAAATTAGGATAGGAATATAAATAGCTAAAATCTCATTTTGGTTCCTTTACTTTAACAAAAAAATCATTTTTTAGTTGCTCTACTTAATAAAACTCCTTTTTAATCTCTAAATTTTATTATCCGGCTCCATTTTAGTTTATTTGTTATTTTTTTTCATTGTGACATGTTAAATAATAACAATTTCAAAATAGATAGACTAAAAAGAGGTTCTTTTAAAAGTAGGGTTCAAAAAAGAGTTTTTTTTAATCCTTTTTTAGTTTTTGTATTTTGAAATTTTTGTCATCTAACAATTATGTGTGTAAAAAAGAAAACAGAAACGTTAATAAAAGGTTAAATAATAAATTTTAGAAATTAAAAATGAGTTTTTTTAAATAAAGTGATTAACAAGAGACTTTTTATTAAAATAAATGGATCAAAATAAGATTTTAATCGATATAAATTACAACATCTCAATTTCTTATGAATTGGTTCTCTATCTCAAATTTTTTGCCATAGCTAGATAAACAAAGCATGTATACGGTATAATTGGTCAAAGGACTAGCATGAAGACTTATTCAAAAATAGCCGACCAAAAGAAAAGAAAAAAAAAAGGACTTGCTTAAACACATGAAGCACACCATGCACCACATGAATCCTAATCAGGACTCTCTTTATCTTAATAAAGAAGAAGGACAAAAATATATATGTAGATATATAGTAATATGCTGAATTTCATTGACTTTTTGAGTAGGATGACAATGTTCACAGTGAATTTGTGTTTGATTTTGTTGTTAGAAAAATTAACATTAAGTGAATTTAACGCGTTTTTGTGTTGAATCTATATAAATCTGAATACATTTCAATTATCAAAAGAGAAAAAAGGCTGCAAAAAATTGAAGTACACCTGTTTCAAATGCTTTTCGTGTGTAATAAGAACTCGTTTCTTTTTTTCTTTTTTTTTTTGGTTTCCCACCTGGTATCTGAGGTTTCGTTTCGACTAATCCAGACCCAACCCGCGTCGCACACTTAAAAATGGTGGGTGAGTCTTCCAGTGAGGACTGCTGCATACACAAAGTCTCAAACTCAAGATCTTATTTAAGTTGGAATAAGTCGCTTGCCACTTGTTCCAACTCCTCGTTGGTAGAACTCATTTCATTAATATATATATACATATATATAGGTGAAGTACTCTTTGTACTTTTTATTATAATAAAATCTTTAATTCATAAAAATATATATATATATATATATATATAAACAAGAGACTGCAGGTAATACATATATATACTATATATGCATGGTCTATTGAATTGTCCTTACTGTTTGGGGGTCCCTCTCCTCTCATGTCATCCAATTTCCTTCGTTTCTTGTTATTAAGTGACAAAAGCTGAATTGGTGCAAATAATTTAGATATACGTACATCTCAATGCATGCAATGCACGTACGTATGTTCGAAATGAAACTAACTTGAAAAGAAAAAAGATAAATATATAGGGTCAAATTCATTGCATTTACTCCAGAGGTGCTCAAACAGAGTCTTTTACGTTTCTTCAGCTCTTACATATAAAAAAGGCCAGGCATCCGTGCACTGAATAATACCATTCAGACGAAGTGTAACGCAGACTTTGCAAGGTTATCCATATTTCTCTCGCCAATACTAATTACTAGTATATATCAAAAACAATTCGACAAAAATAAACAAGGGTTTCTAGTTTTATAAATGAATAATGATAAATGGGATATAAATTTATGACTAAAATCTAGGATCAAATAATGTGGCATACAAGTTACATTATTTAAAATATTAAAATGTAAATCTTATATTATTTAATAATTGGGTTTTTTTGTTTTGTTAAATCTTATAATATTATATGTATCAACTAATTTAATGACGTAATATACGTTAGGTCATTGGTCTCAAATTTTCATCTCCCTATCTTTGCTCTCTATAAATACGGTTTAAGTACCATTTTGGTCCCTCAACTATCCACTTTGGTACCAAAATTGTCCCTCAACTTTAAAAAGTACCAAAATTATCCTCAAACTTTCA